TTATTTCTGACTCCTGTGAGCTGTGCTAAAGGGATTTTCACTTAAAAATCAATTTAAAAATCATGGACATTAAGTAATTGAATCTAACTGCTAGAGAAGGTTCCAGAGAAGTGTCAGGTGTCACCTCTTATTTCCCCTCTTCCCTCTCTGCAGGCTGAGACCAAATGAGTGTCCTTTGCTATGGAGGGAAATTTGGGTCTGTCCTCCCTCCTGCCCTTGTGGGAGCCTTAATCTGGGCCAGAATCTGAGCTTCCCCAGACTCAGGCCCTGACCTTTCCGATTTATGCATTTATTTCCACCTAAGCCAGCGTAGTTCCTCTGAACTGTGATTTATTTCCAGCTAAGCCAACATAGTTCCTCTCTAGCTCCCCAAGATTCTGCACTTCTCACAAGCTCCCCGATGATGCTGAGCTGGTCCTGAGGACCACCCTGGAACAAGGCTCTCGTGGTTCCCAGAGACCCTTGGGCCTGTGTCAGAACCCCCAGAAACAACCGTGTTCCACGCAAGCTGCTGGGCCCACCTCAGTTTCTGATTCCAGAGTCAAATTCCCTGGTGATGCTGATGCTGCTGGACTGGAGATGACACATGGAGATGCTGCCTGCATTTTCCAGGAAGATACAAAGGAAACAGAAGGTGGCCGGGCCCTGAGATACCCACAGAACCGCTGGGGAAGGCAAGCACCTGCCCGGGAAAGAAGCTGGGAACTCTCCCTGGGAAGAGACAGCTGGGAGCTCTAGGGCTGAATGGCAATGGAAGCAGAAGGAGGTGGTTAACTCCAGCAGTCTGGAAAGTGGGGAGCGCGGCTGAGTCCCAAAGCCCTCCGGAAGTGAGAGATTCAGCTAAACCCAGAATCGTACCTGGCCCACTAATGCAGCACTTCTCAAACTCAGGTGTGCACCCGTCATCTGAGGACAACTTTGTCTGAATGCAGGTTCTGAGAGCACAGGTCTAAGGTGGGCTAAGAGCCTCTGCATTTCCCAGAGGTAATGCGATGCTGCTGAGCTGAGGACCACAGTCTGAGAAGCAAGAGCCTGAGGCCTAGGTCATCTCTCCAGACCCTGGCCAAGACTTCAGGGAAGCACTGAGAGCTCAGGAGCCTAGGGCGGAGCGTTGGCAGGGACTGGGGGAGGCTTCACCTTCTCTTTCAAGCTCCTCCCCTCCTATCTCAGAGCCCAGTCCCCCGCCCGGCCTGAGGCAGCAGGATCAGTCCCTTGCAGGCAGTGGTGAGGTACCTGGTAGCTTATCTCAGCCAAGCAGAGTCAGGTGGCTGCCCCAGAGGATGGCTCTCCACAGTCTCAAAAACCTTCTGCAGCATCTTCACCCCAGGGGCCCCTTCTTTCCTTAAACCTTCAACAGACATAATTGTTCCATAGCAATTGCCCACAAGTTCCAAGCTAAGAGGCCTAGAAAGGAGGCATTTTCACCAAAATGGCTTCTCCAATATGGATCTGGGCCTCATGGGCCCAGGGTGGCACAGGTGACGTGTATATAGTAGTTTGCTGTTCAGACTTAGAGTTAGACTTAGAATTATGATGAAAACTTCTCAAGGGTAGTCAGCCCCCTTCAAAATCAAGGACCTCAG